TATATATATATATATACTTATACAGTCAAACCCCACTATAGTGAAACTTCAGGGGACTGAAATTTCGGTTCACTAAAACCGGGAGTTCGCTATATCTATACTGCAAACAATTTTAACTGATTTTTCCGAACTGCTCCCTTTTATTACACATTATTTAAATAATTGACCAATGAAAAGAAATACAAAAATGATTAAAAAACAATCTGTAATAACAAAAAATGTATTAACTTTCTATTTTTTATAACTCTTTGTCTTGCGCACAAAAAATTTAGGGGTGGCCTTAATTTAAAGAAGGGAAACTGAGATAGAAGAATCAAACAACAAAGAATGCTTATGGCTACATTCAACTCAACAGATGGTTTTAAAAATCGGTATATGTATTTTATGTAAAAATTTCAAAATTATCAAAAATGAAGAAAAAAAAATTAGTCGAAGACAGAAAGAAGTTCATAATATCCAATTTTTTCTCTTCCTTTGGTTCACTATATCCACAAAAAATAATATTATAAGTGTATAGCAAGACACGGGAGAGAACATTTTGTTCACAATATCCGAGAGTCACTATAAACCATGTTCACTATAACGGGGTTTGACTATATATATATGTATATCCCAGGTTCAACTGCTGCCACTGGATGACCAGAGAACTAATGTTAATAATAGTGTAATGAAGAAGGTAGGTTTTCATTGGTCTGATCAAGAAGTTTTGCGGACCAATAAAAAGCTTCAATGGTAACAATGATCATTTAGTTTACGTTATTGGCTGCAACGTTTGTCAAGAGAAGACATATTACAAGTCCATTAAAACTTAGGCAGCAAATTTCTTAACTTTAATTGCAATTATAGTTTTTATGCATATCATTTAATAATAAATACATTTCTTTCTTCTCTCTTAATTTTTTTTTCTAAGGTGTCCAACGGAGGTTGGAAGAAATGATCCCAGAAATGATTTGCATTTTGACAATATTTTTTACAAGAATTTCAGTCAACAGTTGTGTAGAATATTTTTAAAAATACTTTAGTGTTTCCAAATTAAAATACAAGATTTATATTTGAAATACGTGTAATAAACGGAAAAATATAAATTGTTTTCTTATTGAATCAAAATTATTTATAATTACTTAAACACGTATAACTTTATAACTTTTTAGGTCTTGCCAGGCATTTAGTTGCAGGAGGTGTTTCAGTTAGGTGTCAAACTCCAACAGATCCTCCTCCATCTTACACAGAAGCAAACGCATTATCTTCCGATATCAGTGCCATAGAAGGATCATCTATCGCCAATAACAGGTAGCTTTTCTTCTAAATTGATATGAGACTGCGTTTCATTATAGCAGTCAATGGTTAAAATGTTTCGATAAAGATATAAGATAATTTATCATTAAATTTTAATCCGCTTTATTTGCTCATGTTTTATTTTTTCTCATTGCAGCTCAAACAATTTCAACATAATTTTCGTAAAAACAATTTTTTTTAATTGCAATTGCAACTTGGAGATCATGAACAAAGTAGATTCACTTTATATAGTATTGAGGTTTGCTATGTTGCGCTGTTGTAGACGAAATTTTAGGTTATAATTTTGGAATTATCAAAAGTTTATTTGTTTTTCCTTCTTTATGGTAAGCTTGAAAAGGAGAAAAACATTGGTTTAACTTTTTGATCTCCTTAAAACTCTTGAAATTATTTTTATTACTTTTATTTGTGTGGCTGAAATTATCTCCTAAGAGAATTTTCCCCAATTTCTTATCGTTTTTACAAATGAATAAAATCACTTACCAGGTCAAATTTATGTGAGATTTTGTAAGTGAAGCCTATTATCTTAATAAACATTTTTCATTTACTTCAAATACCGTAAAATATTAATAATTTTTTTAGTAACACTCATCTTAAAAATTTTATGTTTATTGTCCAAACATACACATAAACATAAGTTAAAAAAAGTTTTTTTTTTAACTTAAAAAAACTTTTATATAACAGTTTTGAGTATTTTCAGTTTGGACTCTCTTTATTTGTGATATTCACCTGAATTAGTATTGAAAATGATCCAGTTTGAACTATGGGTTAGAATTTCTGATTTTTAATTAAAACAATAAAACCAAAAATATCTTTCAAATGAGGAAATTTACAACTCGAAAAGTATTTATGGGATCTCTCTGGTCCCATATCTCAAAAATAAACTCGCCAACTTAATGCATAACAAAATAAAAAGTGAAAAAAATAATTCTAAAAAAATTATCAAACAGCAGCGGTTGCCATAGCAACGCATGCAATGACCAGAGTAACCAAATTGTGTATTCTTCAATATTAACAAATTAGTAACAACGTTTAGCTGTAGATGGCGCTATAAAGAAATGCTTATAAAGCTGTAAGACAATATTTGCGAAATAAAAATCAGTTGCAGTAACATCATGAAACAGTTTGAGAATAATATTAACACATGAAAATACTTTTGATTGCTGAAACGCTCTGTCAGGCAGCGGAACACTTTTTTTTTATAATTTAGCGATTAATATAATTATTTGTTGATGAACTTTATTACTATTTGCGAAGTTTTGCAAGAATTAATACTCATTTCCTTAGCCGAACGTAGCCCACATTTTACATTTTTATGCCATTCCATTTTTTTAAAAAACTAAACTCCGTTAAGAAAAGACCATTGCGGTATGAGATTTATGTAATCATCCGCGACTGCATTTAGTTCCGCTTTATCTCATTATCAAAATATGCAAATATGCTTTCTAAACAATGTAAAAAATTTTAAAAGTTAAACACGTTAGACATATAGTTTCGTAGTCCTACTGAAATCCTAGACTTGGTGACATATATCGATAAATAAGGTAAACATTCGTTCGTCAAAAAGAAACAGCTACATGACGTTGTAAGAGCATTGGATTTGATTGGACCATTGAAAATGGCGGGTCTTATGCTGACATGCTCTTTAGAAATCAAATGGCAGAAAATGAATTTTTACTTTTGTTTTGCTGTAGAACAAAATCGTCTGAAGGAACAATACTTACTATTTTTTCATCACTTTCTTTAATAGCAAACAGAAACACGCGCATTTTTAGGTATAATTTTTAAATAAATCTCATTACTTGTTAATTAATTATTTTTGTTGATAAGAAAGCAAGCTAAGGAGGCTGTGCAACGTCGTTTCAAAACTTGGCGATATTTGCGCTGTGATTTCGGCATTCATTTGGCGTGCACGTATACGCAAAAAGATCATCTGCGTAGGAATCAGGGCTAAAGAGAACAGAAGAGCTAGTTCACTCCGCTCTTAGAGCTGAAGCTACGATTTCCCTCCTCATGACGTCACTGTGTCCACAGATCTCGGAGATCGCAAGCAAAGATATTATGATAACTTTGCATCTTTCTCTTTGTAAAATTAAGTTTAGACTTTTTCTGGTAATTAGCTTTCAAACTTTACCTAATTAACACATTATTTCCGTTCATAAACATAGTTCAAAAAAACGTTCTTGGGCATTATATTAAAAAAAATACCATTTCAAGCTTATAAAAATGTTTTACTAGTTGGCAAAAATGACACTATAAATACTTTATTTTAAAAAGTTCAGCTTTAACTTTAATTATTAAGAAAAATGAAAGCATATATCGACACTTTNTTTATATTAACTGAGTCATCTCGGAATCCATTCTTTACATAGTTGTTCATTTACTTTAGGGAACACGCGGAAAATTATATTTTTTCCACTTATTTTTCTATCAGAATTTGCAATCGTGCAAACTGGCATTTCGATAATAGTTTTAAATTCTTGTAAATTCACTGCAAAAACTGAGGAAAGTCATTATAGAAAATAACAAATGTCTTAGAATATCTCACAAAAAGAAATGGTCCAATATTAGTTAGAGCTAGTAAGACCGAGTGCTCCGTTCTTGAAGTAAAAGTGCGAGCTTTGCGCCAAAGTGACGTCACTAGAGAAAATAGGAGGATTGGCGCGGCGAGAGCTACTTCAAAGGAGTGAACCAGCCCTTCTATTCTCTTTAGCCCTGCGTAGGAATAGTGGTTTTTCTTAAACTTGCGACAGAGTATAGTTTTTTAAATTATCGGTCATTTGCATGTCTTCTTTTAACGCAGAAGAAAAAGTGTTTATCTGACAGATTAAGAAATAATTTTGAATAAAAGTACTTTTTGATCTTGAATATCCTTTATATAAAACTAAAAGACGAAAAAAATCGAAAGACAAAAATACATAAGACCGTCAAAAAATATCTTAATGTATAATGTAGATAAGTTTTTAAGGAATTATAAGCCTGCGAAACTATCAAATTACTAACTATTACTATATTAAAATTACTAAACTATACATTTTTTGCAACATATCACTATTAGTTTAGCTTACAAAATAATGTTTATTTCTTTTTAGCTTTGATCTTCGTACTTCTCGAGTAGGGTCTGCGTCTCAAGACAGAAATGCAATCAATCAGCGTCCAACATCGGGATGTGGATCTTCAGGTATGCAGAACGCCCTCTACTGGTCAACGAAGTTTTGACCCACTGTTGAGGAAACAAAACATCTTTAAACAAAACAAAACAATTAAATCATGTTTGATATTTTCATAATCTTGAAGGAAGTGTCTTATCTTTTTTGCGATAAGAGATAGACGTTGTTTTACACATATGCCAAATAATACCTGAGATAGCTATTATTTTGTTGTGAACATGAGAGTTTGAATCAAATAATGTGTTGTAATAAATATGTGTCTAATAAAATTTTACTTTCTATGATCCTGTTTCTTATTTGACGGCAATATAACAAAAACAGATTATTTAAAATAATTTAAACTGCTTTTTAAATCTACTTCATTTCAGCATTCCTCATATATTTTTCGAAAAAAATATTGTTAACTTAAAATTAATCAATTCTAACTCAGTAATAGAAAGTTGGCCCTCAAATTGTCACTGAGAAAAAAAGTAGGGTCAAAAATACCAGAAAGTGGTGACGTTTATCGTGTTTTTGGCTTTATGAGAACACCAGAAAACTCGGTAATTTTTATCGAAGCACTTTGGTAATGATTTTGATAAAATTGACTATAAATATGGTTTTATAACATGTGATAAAATTTGGTAAATTTGCTAATTTTATTACGAAACTTTAGAGCATGACATGAAAATCAATTAATTAAATTCACTTTTAAGTTTTGTATTTTTCACTAAAAATGTGGTAATAAAAATTATAATTTTAACACCAGAATTACACCAAATAACACCAGAATAACACCAGAATTATCAAAAAATGGTTTAAATACCGTAGTTGTCATTTTATTAACCATAGATGTGCTATTATCATGAATGGTGTTACTATATAATAGGATAATTTTACAAGAATTTTTCTTCGTGTTACTTTTTTGTAAAAAAGTATATATATTTCTGAAACATACTTACAGAAAAATCTCTTTTGTAATATATTCTTAGCAGAAGTTTTTAAATTGAATCAATAGAATAAATGTTAAAATTAATTCATAAAAATACAATCTAGCAGATAATTTTGGAAGAATCAAAAATTGCTTGACAAATCTTAGTCCATTGATGATCCCATTATTTTTCCTCTACGAATTAGACATTTTGTAACATATTGAACCACAATATTTTTCAAATTTATGGTAATAAGCTGAACTAAATTGTTGGGATTCATACACTTGATTACATAGCACTATGATTCAATTTGCAAGGAATCTTGGTTAAATTCAGCACTATAATATGGTTACCAAAAATGCTTCAACTCTTCAAAATATAAAACAGTTTAACTTACACCCTTGTGCAAATTAATTGAAACAAACTTTTTTTTTCGTGTTTTTTAAAGAAGATGTTTTGGGGTTGTTTCGGTTACAATGCGGTTGGACCTTTGCAGCGTATTGACGGTATGATGCGTTCTGAGCAGTACATTACTATTCTGGGTAAAAAATTTGTTCCACAGTTGAGGAAACGATACGCTGATGGAGCAGGGATTTTTCAACAGGATTTAGCTCCTTGCCATACGACCAAAATTGTCAAGAAATTCATGCCTGAGAATCAAATTGAGAAATTGGAATGGACAGGGAACTCTCCGGATATCAACCCAATTGAGAATCTCTGGGCCATATGCAAGAATCGCCTATTAAATATGGACTGTACAACTATGGAGAAGCTAATCACGGCGTTAATTCATGTGTGGTACAAGGACACAAATATTATAAATAACTGTAAAAAATTAGTGGAATCCATGCCGAATCGTGTCCAAATGTTAATAAAGTGTCGTGGAGATCATATTATGTACTAAAGATTTTTGAGTTTGTATAAATTTAAATAAAATAGCATTTTCTCTTAGTTTTCTGAATTTATTGAGTTTGTTTCAATTAATTTGCACAAGGGTGTACATGAAAGCGTGGTTTATTTCAACACTTTTATTAGATTTCTAAAAACGATACAAAAGCATACTAAAAGCTGTAGGAATAAGCATACAGGAATACGGTGAAACTAAGCAAAATAGCGAATATAATTTGACCTTTTCTAAGAATAGTAGAATATGCTTTTCTATTTAAATATATCTAAATGATAATCTTAAATATCAACACAGATTTAAAAAATTTACTACACAATATAATTTATTTTAATTTCAAAGTGTTAAAAATATTTTTCTTTAATCTGTGAATGTATTGGTTTTCAAAATCAAAATAAATATCATCCAGTTCTTAGCCGTCTGTGGAAACCGTAATTTTGCAGCAATAAAAATTACAAAAAAAAATCATTTTATTTGAACAAAATGAAGAAAATTCCAGAGATACTTTTTTAAACTAAGACATCAATTTTTTTAAAATATAGTTCATAGTGTTCGCCAAAATAAATTTTCTTATTAAGTTTATATTAATTGTCAATTTAGTTATGCTACTTTATTATAATAACATTGATTCATTAATCTCAAAATTCATTCATTACTTTGAACATTAACTCATTCATTAATTTCCATTTTCATGTATTCATTTGAAAATTAGTTACTTCAGTTTGTTTTGCATAAATTAATTACTTCAGAAAGTTCAGAACTATAATTCTTTTAATCCAGAAGAACATTTACTTTCGATTTTTATTTATTAATCATTCTAAACTGACAGGAAAAAAATATTTAGAATAGATTAGAAATATTACTGTTTCTAGGACAAATATTTAGAAATCATTACAAATAATATCAAATTACATAACTGATGTATATTAGAAAAAAATAAAAGATAAATTGGTAATATTTTAACAGACAAGAGGAAAAAACTTTTGATATACTATAGATTTTTAATAACCGGCATTAAACTCTTTCTATTATTTTGCTCTGAAGTTTTTATTATTTCTCTTAAAGGAAATAAACAGTTTTATTTCATTTTGTACGAAAGAAGTCATTTCATACGTTGGACGCAAACCGTAAAATAAATCATGAGTTTTATGGTGTATGAAAAGTCCAACGACAAAACGACAACTTTAGAGAATCAAGCCTTTTATCCGTCTCTCACAGTTAACGTTAACATACTAAAATAATTTTCTTTCTCCAAATTGAAAACTCAAAAAATAATTTTAACTGTAAAAGCTGCTAAAATTGAGTTATATTTTTACAGTAAAGGAAAGAATCGAATGTTTTAAACGTGTGCGAAATGTAATTAAACATGAGCTATAGAAAGATCACTTCTTAAATACTAATTCAAGGAGTTTTTTTTAAAAAAATATTGTTATAAACTCTTTTTTCCTCATAATTTGGGCTTAAGTTAATTAAACATATGATTTTATAAATTTATTGAAAAGCAGATCCATTAATCAAAACCGCTTATCATTCCCCATTATTTCTCTAGAAATTTTTTGCACAAAACAGTTTTTTTTCTTCTCAACTTGAAATTTACTCAAAAAGCACGCACTGAAGATTTACTTCTTGTTCATGCTCATACTTTCAACTTTACACGCTTAAGTATTTTTTAAATAGCATATAAAATTAAAATTTCACAGTCATAAACAATTTGCTCAGTCACCATTACAATTTCATCCACAATCTTACTTTCTAAACCATTAATCAGTTTTTGATAGCTTTAAAAATACATTTCACCTAAAGGAAAATTTAGTGATAATGTCAAAACTTATTTAATAATATTTTTTTTAAAAATTTTACACTCATTACTTTGAATGCATATATTAATTAGATATATTTTTACAGCATTACAAATTATGTGCAAAACTGAAAGGCACCATTAGTTAAGTTTAAAAGTTCCAGCTTTATTTATTTATTTATTACTAGCTGAATACCTGTCCTTCGCACGGAGTTAAAATAAAGAAAAGAAGAAAAAGAATCAACAAATCAGTACTGAGAAACACTACGAAATCATATTGAAAACTGAACTGAAGATCTTAGTGGAAGAACCAGGTCAGTAATATTTTTAGGGGAATTAATGAATCAGAGAAAATAACATAAATCGGTTGCGTCAATATAGGTATGTTTAATGTAACATAATTATTTTTGGCTTCCCTTTAATTTTAATAAACTGATCTACATAAATTTTTAGCATGCTGGCATGACTGTTATTCGAAATTAAGCAGTGGCAAATAAAATAAGACATAGAATTATCAGTCCAGCTTTCTAATGTATTGGTAATAAAACAGTTTGGCTATCACTTTTCCCGTATTCTGATTACAGCCTCTTTGAAAATGTCACTTGCCTGGTTCTTCCACTTCCTGACTTCCACTATCTTCCTGGTTCAGTTCTTCAATGTAAAGCTAAAATATTTTTTTTCTATTTATTATTATTTGTAACCCTTTCCTATGATTTTATGTTATTGAACTAAGCAAAACTAGTTTATCTCAGTTCATCCCATCAGAATAGAGATAAACTGTATTTTGCTTCATTTAGCATGATGTTATTGCTCATGTTCAAGTTATGATGGTCAAAATTTACCGCTATCAATTTTCCCTGGTACATATCCCTTTCAAGGAGCAAAACTACCAATATAATACTTTATACCTATTTTAATGCATTTCGTACCTTACATTATAATATTATATATACGTTATAACATTATAACAATTATAATATAGCATTATATATACATTACAACATTTTAACAATTATAGCATAACATTATATATACATTATAACATTATAATATTTTAATGCATTTCGTCTTGAAGGTGCATGATATACACCTTCAACACAACAAGTACAACATCTATCTGTGGTAGCACACCAAATCCCAATTAGAAAAAAATTAATTATGTAAACAGTAATTAAAATAGTAATTACGTGTTCAGAACTAAAAAGAATTAATTTGATAAGACAGAGCTTGATCATTTCTCTATCGTACCTTTAAGTTACAATTTAAAATATTTATAAGTTGTAGCGTAAAAAAGCTCTTCCCATTCTAATTCATTAACATATTAATACACTATCTTTGCTACCACTGGAAAAAAAAATCTTTTTTAGCAATGTAGAACCTGTTGTAGAACTCTTATCAAACCAGCACCATTTAAAATAATACCAGTAGTTTATAATACCATAATAATCAAGCGTCATTTGTGTAGGACGCTTTGCTACGGTTCCCCTAATCGAATTTTAACTATACATAGTTTATTTCTTTATCACAGCACATAGCCTTTTTTATTTCAACTATTACATATTGCCAACATTAATTAGGCATAGTAGTCAATAATAGTATGTCAATTTCTTACTGTTCCTCACATAGAATAAGTACCTTTGCTCTATTAATTTTACTTTTTAGTACAATGCCTATTTCTTTTATTTCAATATGCATATTTTAAGTAAACTAATTAATAATTGTTGGTGTTAATAGTAGTATGGAGATATTATACGTTTCTCCTAAATGATTTAGTACCACTTTTCCGTTAGTTTTGCTTTTGAATATTGTTTCTTTGCATTTCAACTACCGTTAATTTTAGAAACACATTTTGAAAGAATAACTATAAAAAAACATGTGGTATTAGATAACTTTAAAAATATTTGCGTAGTCCACGCGTTCTAAAACAAACTCTTTTTTTCGATCAAATAAAGCTATAAGCAGCAAATATCACTGATTTTAGCTTCAAAATATATTATTTATTGAATCCTCTACATTTAAATTTAAAACAATGGCTAGTGCTCAACCAATCAGAAAATTCTGTTTCATTTTTTGCTGATTCCACTCGAACGGTTTGTCGTAGACTGTTCTAATGTCAACAGCGACCTTCCTCGCACTTTGAACTATCTGTCTGGTGTTACCTATGTTGACACACGAACACACACACATTTTTATATAGAGAGATTATTTGACACCCCTCGCAATGACTTTGCGTTATTGGATTAAGGCAGTGTTTCCCAAACTTATTACTTTTGTGTACCCTTTCTAAATATTTTGTAACGCTGTGTACCATTAATTACAAAATGAATGTATTTTTTACTGAAAAAAAATTGCCCAAAAGTTAAAAATCACAACTGGCTGTTAATACCCCTAATTATTAACTGTTAACTCTGCAAAAAATAGCCAATATAAAAATACGTAATCTTAAATTTTCATGGCTAGCTTTGTTTCTAAATAAAATTTAGTGAAATTTTCGTTTGTTTCATGATATTTCGTATAAGAACGCGTACCCTCGCTAAACTGCTCCCGTACCCCTGGGGGTACGCGTACTACACTTTGGGAAACACTGGATTAAGCGAAACACAATTTTAGAAATGTATTCTTTCAAAGTAAAAACTAACTATTGGCATAATGTAGGGTGTAACGTATTCGAAAAAAAAACAGATATTCGATACGTAACGAATAAAAATAATTAAATGTCAAAGAATATGCCGTAAATTCTTTTTTTGATAAACGGGAGTTATGAGCTAGAAAACATCAATGATGTTATCTTTACAATATTCGGGGGGAAAAAACGGACTCACCCGGTAGTTTAATTTTAATCAAAGGCTAGTTCTAAACTTATGAGAGAATACCCGAACGATTTAACTGAAATTTTTGAATGATTATTTGGCTCAGGGGGGGGGGTAAAATTGCCCTTTCGCCTGCTGCCTAAATTTCAGGTCTCTAGCCAAATGGTTCTGGAGTTCTAGCACAAATGGTTCAGACACATAAGCACACAGACAAATTTATTATGTTAATATTATGTATATCAAGTTCAGTAACGTTTAGAACATTTTTCTAGATATATTTAACAAACTGCTTTGTACGAGGTTGTGAATCGTATTAGAAAAAAATATTGAGCAAATTATCTGTTAACTTTTTTTAGCGCCAAGTTGATTATTACTAAATTAAAAAGTTGTGATACCATAATAACATATTTTCTAGTTTTTAAAATTTCTTTAATTTCTTAGATTTATTTTTTTATCACTCTCACTAGCATTTTAACTAAATTAAACTAATTATTTAATTTTCATTACATTTTATAAAAAGCTAATATAAATATTTTCATTATTTTTTATTATTAAAAGCTAATATAAATATTTTCATTCTTTTTTATTATAAAAAGCAAATACAAATATTTTCATTCTTTTTTAACAATCAAAGTAATGACTAACTTTTTATTGCAATACTAACTCATTAACTCACTTTCGTGACTAAATCGAAACAGAATTTATTTATAACATTTTCTATAATAATTTATTTGTAAACTTTATTTCTTTCCATAAAAATGTTTCAGTTACATGGTTATGCCAATTATCAGTCCTTTTTGGTGATTAGCCTTAACCAAACTACGAGTATTTTCAAATATAATAATTACGGAGACTTGACTCTGCTTTCGGCCATTTTATCTTTCGATAAATCGCCAACCATGGATTTTTTCCCATGCTCCTATCCGTCCGTTAAGAACAACTAACTTTTAATTTTGAATTCCTGGTGAAAGGTTTGGGGGGGGGGGTGATAACCTCTGCCTGAGCAATAATTAACGATTTTTCTTGATGAAGAACAAGTATGATTATCTTGATCCCTTTGGGGAGTTCTTTCGTTAAAACGTCGCCGTGTTCGTTATAATAAGATTTACATAATAAAAAAAAATTTCCAAATGATTTTATTTATTTTTCTGAAATAAATATCCCTACTTCATATCCAAATTAAAATTGATCTGAAGCGGTCATAATATGCTTAATACTGCAATGGACTAACCACTCCTAGCATAAAAGTAAAGCAACTTAAACATAATTGCGTGATACTTTTCTTTAACTTAAAGGGTAGCAAGGTTCAATTTAACTCCTTATAGAGAGAGCAGCAAATTTTCACAGTATTAGTAATGTTAGTTCTAGTTCTATTCATATCTGTTAGAAATTTTAGATTGTGTTGGGTCATAACATTAACAGTAAATTACCTGTAACTTTAATATGTCGCCAAGTTGATTACTGTTATCTTTCAAGCAAAAGCAACTTAAACTTAAGTTCACGAAACTTTGTTTTAGCTTAAAAGAAACAAGATCGAATTATAGAGCTTGTAAAAATCTTTCACTATACTAATATGTCTAGTTATATCCATATGAGGATACAATGTTAAACCAATTTTTTTGAAGTGTACACTGTTGGAAATATAGTATTGTGTTTAAACATAATTTTTAGCAAATTTTTCTCCATCTTAGTATGGAGTCAAGTTAAACCACAAAGTGTTCTAAATTAGGATGCCTACTTTTAAAAATTAATAAAAAGGAAAACGATTTGGGTTTTTAAAAAAATCTTGCATCAAACTTATGTGACAGGGCATCAATTTTTTTCTTAGAGTTTTTGTTTTTAAATCAAAAGCTTATGGCAGGTAGCACAGAATTTTCCTTCCACTGTTCTTTTTCATTTGATTTGCTATGTTTGGATTTGAGATTATAACATATGATTTTGGCACATCGAAAATATTGTAATTAGAAATTTTTATTCGTTTAATACAATTTTGAAACATTTTGATAAAATTTTCTTAGAATGTCAAATTTTACTATCCACTCCACCATCTGTCGGAAAGCTTTTGAACTCTAAGTGAAATCTCTTTTAAAAAAATTTATGCTCCGCTACATAAATTTGATGCAAGAACTGTCTTTTTGATATTAGCAGGTTTCGTGTTATAAACATAATAACAGTTTGCGGCAATTATAATATACTACAAAATCAAACTAATTTAAGGTATTTTTTAAGATAGGTATTTAGTTTCAATGAATGATACTATAGTATAATTTGCACTGAAGCAGGGTATAGTTTAAAGCTACTCTCTTAAAATGAAAGAGTGATTTCCCCTACTCAAAAAAGAGTTAAATTTTTTTAACTCCACTTGAGTGAAATACACGAAATTTTTGCTTTGCGTTTAGTCAAACTTGAGTGGTATTTATTTAAGCAATATTTGAGTGCTTTTAGCTCAAACTTGAGCGATTTATTTATTATTTAATTGCGTGCGAGCTATAAGATCGAATTTCTATCGTTTTATTTTAAAAAGCAAACGATAATAAAACTAAATGAAATTGTTATGTTCTGTGATCTAAATTGATTATGTCTTCATTTTTATTTTACGTTTGTGGCTTAACTACCACTACGAAAAATAAACATTAATTCACTGGTATATAAGACATGCTAACTTGATTCAATCATAAGGTTCCCTTTTGATAGATGAAGGTTGGCATTGTGACAATACCAATTTGTCGATAACTCGTCCCCCCACATTGGTGACCTCCGGACGTGATTTGAACACGCAGTAACGCCCGGTTCGATCTGGTAACGCGTACTTCGATGAATGGTGCACATTGAACAGTTGCAGGGGTGAAAGCGAGACGGAAAAGATGAAAGACTGGTAGTGAAACCTTTTAAGTTATAGCTAGTTTTTGAGAGGAGTTTACTTTTTCTTTTATTAAACTGTTCAACAATATCTACTTTATCATGGAAAAGAAGCAGTTTTGCGAAAAAAATGCTGGAATGAAATGTCTTACGTACCAGTTTTTTTTCTCTTTTCCGTCTTGCTATACAAGGGCTTTCAGCCATGAACAATTGAACAGTATGATTAAAATATATTCACTTAAATGATGCTAATTATGAATAAAAAATGATTGAAATTCACACAAATTCAAGTTAAAAGGACCCAATCAAGTGATACATATAACCACTCAAACTCGAGTGAAAAATCACTCAAGTTTCATTGAAAACGATCCATTCAAGTAATACTGAAAATTACTCAAACACGAGTGAAAATAACTCAAGCTTGAGGGAAATTTTTTTCACTCAAACTTGAGCTATTTCCATATAACTCTTTCACTTGAGTGATTTGAACTCAAGAAGAGAAGGCAGCTTTCTTCGAGACGAAAGAGTTAAATAGCACTCAAGTTGAGTTATTCTCACTCGTTCATTTTAAGTGAGTAAAGAACATATCTTATAAGTTTACATGCAATCAAATGTTTCAATTAGACTTTTACAGTATTCAAGAACGAATTTGGTTTAAAAACTGTTAAATTATGCTATAAAAGCTAATAAATGTAAAAATTATTTTGTCTTGAAGGAAACACAATAGCAAAGGCAATAATATAATAACAGACAAATGCTCCAAAAGAGATTGGAAAAACAATTCTGACAGCTCTTTCTATTTTATATGATAATTCCTTTGACGGGATTCTTAAGCACTTGGCATCCGTCTTTTCTTTTTTATCCTCGATTTCTTCCACATTCTGAAATTAGAAAAATTCTTTGAAATGTTTTGTATTAGCATACAAATCAAGATGAGTTTCAAAATTTTCAAATAATGTAGTTTTATATTTTAATTGCTAAAGGAACCTTTTGGAATTAAAATCGCTAATGTTTTAAAAAAATATCTTTTTTTTTACTAAATTATTGCATTATTTTTATTATATACATACATCCATAAGAAACATCAACATTTAAAAAGTATGCACTGGGATAGGAAGTATTTTATTTTTATTTTATAATCGTCGTTGAACAACTGAACCATTTTTGGGTTTATGACTACTAATGTTCAACTCCGTAACCTTGTCATTTTGGACCCAATCCCGAAAACAAGGGAAATCCTGGGTCAAGGATTGGGAGAAATTTGCCTTCGCTGAGGACTTTTTGATGGAACTAACCCACATTATCGTTACATGGAGAGGAAGACTACGAGAACCTCCCACGGTTAGCCAGACAGCAAGTGGACTTTAACCCATCATCCGTCTACCACTGAGGATATTTCACGTAAGCACAGTGGTCGGTGCAAGCAGTATGCGGATTCGTATCGACCAGCTATTGCTGGAATTCGAGTCCGGACAACATCAAGTATGCACTACGGACTACATCATCTGCTCATTACAAGGTGAATGCACTACCCCCTGAGCCATCACGACTCAGGTAGAGAGTATTGTCAAAACTACCAAAATACAGTAAAATTTACTGTGTTACTGACTCTATGGGGACACTATAAAGTTCGGTGATTTTCACCATAGCTCTTTGGTTATGATTTTGGTAAAATTAACCACAAAATATGGTTTTATAATAGGGATAAAATTTGGTAATTTTATCATGATACCCTAAATCATATCATACAAACCATTTATTCAGTTAAATTTACTTTTCAGTTTTGTATTTATTAAATTGACTGATATATGTATTTCCGACCCCACATTGCTATATGATTTCGAGTCGTCAGGATGCAGCCTACCACTCTTAGGAGTTCTGAAACGTTTAACTGAGACATAATAAAATTATTCTTTATTCCAAATTCTAAACCTTTAAGTAACCTTTCTGAGGACAGGTAATTTAAAATTTGAAAACGAGATGCTATAACAGCAACAAACTGCGGTAATACTAAGAAGTGATGTTCATCTGTGGATTCAATTTAGAGTAGTAATTTATGACGTATTAAATTATAGTTTTATGGAAGCGCTTAATATATTTGGTTGGCATTTCAGTTAAAACCGTTTTCTTTTAAATTTTTTTATAAGTTTAAAATGTGGAAGCATTCTATTTTCTCATTCACTTCCATTCTCTTTTCACAAGAATTATCTTGGCAATGTCGCTTTAATTTTACAGTGAAAAGTACTGGCACTTTGAGTGAAAGAAATTTTTAAATTTGATCCGGGTTTTTTTAACCGTATATCAATTACTAATAATAAAAATTATAGGGATTTTATGTATTCATGAAGACTTACAATATCTATCATGATTATTTAAGTTCCCTGATCTTCTAATCTTCAACATTTTCGCTTGCATAGAAGGTATATAATGTGCTTAGAATTAGAGGTGTTTAATATATTTTTCTAAAAAATATACAATAGAAATATTTTTTAAGAAATACAATGTAATTTACCTTATCATTCGCGCTGCAAACACAATGCATTGTAGAATCGCTTGAAGTTTTGGATGATGTCGATCGGTAAAGATAATTCACCACGATGTATTCAACAAAAGAAGTATAAATAAAAAATAAGCAAGCACCATCCCATAAGTTCATAGCCTCTAAGTTGGACACGACAGGTAATGATGATCTGAAGTTTATCATTGTCGTACAGTAGCTCAACATACTTGTTACTCCAATCGTTACTCTAGTCGAGACATCTCCTTTGTCCAACCAAAACCCAAGAAATGCGCTGGTGACAAGAATTATTCCAGGCAAGAAAACTGTGGTAATGTAGTAATTTTTATCTCGAGTAAAAATAAGTAAAATATATAGGCAACTATTACCTGAAAGTACAGACATTATATGTGATAATAGTATTATAAATCAGGTAAATAGTCCATAATTATGTGTTAAAAAAGAGTGTTTCTTTGGAGCAATTAATACATAAGATATTTTTTATAATAAGCTTCTTTTGATATTGGAAATAACACCTGAAATCTCCTCAAGTGCTTCCCTATTTTTTAAGGGGAGTGCTGGAGAGTTGAGGGGCTGAAATGAATTTCTTATATACAGGCAAGTGAGGCATATTTTCTTTTGTATGTTTTCGCTTAATGAAATGACACCAATTTCGAGACAATTGGATAAGTTATAATCATTTTATGTATAAAAAGTTAAAATTTGTACGTGTACCTATCTGATATTGCCTTCCAAGCAGGTGAGATATTGTTCCCATGCATTTTATTACGCCGAATCGAATGAAACTATACAAAAACTAATAAAATAATTAGTTCAAAAATTGCAAGTATGAATGATAAGTACTACTATTGACACGCGCTTATATTATACACTTTACATTACTTTCCATGAAGAATCTGAGCATGTCAGGCATAATTTTGGATGTTATTTTTGACACTAAATTGAGAAGATGAAACTAATAGATTAAAAATTATAAAGGTTTTCAATTCAGGTCTGCAATTTAAAAAAAAACCCTTTTTAGACAAAAAAACTGTTTCAACTTTAGAAATGTTATTTCTTTTCGTTACAGTTTGATCTCTTTCGATTAAATTAGAAAAAATACATAAGGATAAATGTCTGTAGAGCACTGTATTATGCTATAATATGTAACAAAACTCTGATTTTTGTAGATAAAACGGGTATAACTTCGAGACTATAAGAGTGATCGTCTTAGTATTGATTTCATTCAATTTAGCATGCAAAATTGCATTGGCAATTATGTCTTACATGTTCAGATAGTTCCTGGGTAGCAGTGTAAAATGCATACAAATTGTACTAATTTTTGTACATAAAAACTCTTTCAACGTTTAAATTATTTGTTCTACAGTCTTATTTAATTCAGCGTACAAAAATGCATAGTCTAACTTGTTCAGGTAGCAGTATCACAAGCTTAAACTGGAACAAATTTGTACTTTTTGTACTTAAATATTTTATAAATTATAAACTATTTGTCCAATTGGTTTTATCCGATTTAGCCTGAAAAAATAAATCGAAAATTAAGGCTCACTTGTCTGTCTAGGAGAAATTCAATCCCCCGCCCTCAAATATGCGTATCCGTAAATACGAATCACATATCCGTAGCGTGTAGAAAAGTTTTCAGGTACAATTTATAATAACATAATAAAGTTATTTTCGAAAAAATTTCTAATTTTGCTGGATTAAAGATTTCATAAATTGATGAATTTATTCTTACTATTTCAACTAATGTCTGGGTTTTAACGACATTTGCCTTTTTTATTTTATTTTTGAACCCCTTTGGCCTAATATTTTAATCACTTTTAGAGTACTATTTGATTTTTCAGGTCACTTATTAAACTTTTGGGAGAGTTTCTTTCTCTTTAGGACATTTTTTTAATTTTAGGGCATATTTGAGAGCTTATTATTATATTTTTCACGCATTTTAACTTTGGCATACTACTTGTAGTAAAGCATTACAGCTCCTATGCTAAAGATGACAATTGTGCACTAGTGAGAAGATTTATTGATCAGGAAGATAGAAAACCTTAATAACTTCTGGAAACTTTGAGGGTAGGAAAGACTAAGAATAAAAGCTCAGAAATTTAGGATAACTCCAGAAACACCTGTCATAGGGAGCATATATCAGACTTCGATGTACAAAAAGCGGACAACACTGAATAACTTTTGATCTAGTGATAGGATCTTCACGTTCTAGGACTTAATCTTAATGGTTCGAGGAGGTGACTTCAAAATGCTAATAGAATAGAAAAGTCAATATTTGAGTTACAAAAACAGACACCAAAAAATCCCTTTCTTTGAATAAACATGCCTTTTTTTCAATGGATTCGCATTTCTGAAATATAGGAAGTAGCAGCAATCTGGGAAATATGGATATAATAGTTTTGTCAGAAGAGTGGTCGAAGTGTGAACCCCATAAAGTTAATTTTGCTTTTTACTTATTTCGCAACATCTGGAGAACTTTTGGAGGGATTGAGAAATCTTGGCTCACAATTATAATTCCATGCATAAAAAAATTTTAAAATAACTTTTGGCCAGTATTTATTATTTTTACCTATTTTATTTGATGGCGAAATTTTGAAAAAAATTTTTCACCAGTCGAAAAAAAATTGAACTGTATGCAATTTTTACACCATTTCAAAGAATATAATTTTACATGAAAAATACGATATTTGCTTGAAATAGGTTAAATAGTTCTTGAAAAAATGTAATTTAGGAACACGACTTTTTAGAATTCATCAATTTCTCTCAATTCTGCATGGCTTAACGTTCTCTACAATATATGAGGTTTTGGAAACTAAATGCTTCAGATTGATTGCAAGAGACATTTTTTGCAGTTTTAAAAGCAATTTTTGCTTTTTTTTAAGGAATTTACTGATTTTTTAGGCTGTAATAATCTAGTTATGAGTGATAATTAACAAATTTAAATAATTTGAGTACATTATAGCAACAATAAAACGAATAATCCTTATAACCAAGTGCGATAACTAATATTATAAGGGAAATTAATTTCGATATATTAGTAGTACATTTCCTAGAAATATTCACTCCTAGAAATATTAAAACGTACTATCCTGCCAATTTCGAGAGCAAACCATATACTTCATGATGAATTTGTTGATAAAATGAAACAATATTTAATAAAATATTAATAACATAATTTTCAGACAACTTGTTCCTTTTAAAAGAGTTATATCTAAAAACTTACTTCGTGACGTTAACCACATATCACAAGTTCCACTTATATTAGAAATGAGATAAGCATTAAAGGAGTGAAAAGATGTCGTGCGTATCAGTCGTTGGGCGTCCCATTCTAATTCCAGCTCATCTTGTTCCAAAGCAACTAAAATACAATAATTTAGAACACATTTACTTTATTATAAAAAATTCTAATATATATATA